GGAGCATCAATATTAATTTCCAACATGTCGGCCTCTACCATAGCAGTTTTTAAGACTAAAGTCACCTGAACGAAATTTGCTGAACCATCGTTGACACTTGCGAACGTTCAAAACATTTCCATAATCTTCTTTGATATTCTTTGCTGACTACAGAGGCGTTGTTTTCCTTCTTCTATTCAAACAGCATTACATGCCAAATGTTTGTCTCGTCGTGTGCCATCACCATAAGGGATTATAATGTACTAAACGTTACACATTATATAGGCTACACTAACTTGACATTTAGGTGGTTCGTTTAACTACTATACGTGATGTACGTTTTTTGGGGTGGTGGTTAATGAAAGTGTTCCAAAACGCGACATTAATTTCTTGACGAACTAATATACTAATAGTAGCTCAAACGTAAATGTTTCAAATGCCTTAATAATAATATCAGTGATTAAAAACAAATCCAATACAACTACATTCGTATGAATTGTTGCATAATAATACGCTGTCATATGATTTATTATTTAATGTACAGTAAGGTGTAAACAGTAGTAAATAAGAATTAATTGTTTTCAGTTACCATTTTCAAAACCCGCATCTCCCCCATCTAGTGCACATGCTGTCACCGGAACTGTAAGAATACTGTTCTCAATATAAACTTCGAACTTATATTTAGAGTATAACAGTTAAATTTTCTTTTTATCAGAAGTGAACAATTATCAAATTGTACGTTCTTAGAACCATTAAAAATGTATTATAAACAATATATATAACTAAATACAAACCTTGAAGTTGTCGTTAAAACACTACGTTTATTGATTAGTAAAAAATCATACAATCAGACAAGACTTGTTTTTGTAAAGCAGTAGTATATGCAAGGTCAGAGAACTTTCAGTTTATGATAAGAACTACATTATATTTTATATAAAGTAGTACATATCAAAAATTAGTGACGTACGCAGGGGGTGGCTAGCTGGGCTTAAGCCCCTGCCTTACTCCAAAAGTGCCTTTTTTCTCAGTCATAAAAAAATATTCACAGCTACTAAAAGATATGGCTGATTCCATATCTTGCTTGCTGCGAGTTATTACGAAAAAAATTCTCAGCTTTAAAATGAATGATAGACAGGGACTTGTAGGTCTAAAATACAAAAGAATAATTGTGATATGCTGTTAAGTATCACCAGAGGATAATTCATTCTTTAGTTTTAGGTTTTAAATGTTTATAAGACAGACTGAAGAGGAATAAAAGAGGACCTTTTTGTTTCTTATGGCTTTCTATCCTATTTGTACCAGATGCAGCCCACAGTCCCCGTAGTCTCTCCTAATACCCCCCCCCCCAAAAAAAGTCTTGTCTCACAATGCTTTAAAAATTCCCAATTTTTTGTCAGTGGTCTCGTCAACAATCTACACGTTATTGTCAAGGGCATGATTACAATACCATCGATCAACTTTCGAATGTATAATATAGCATTTTGAAGTAAAACAGTGGCACTCCACCTGCACTTGAGGTGAAGCGTTCACTCGTTCGTGACCCTGCAGGACTACACTATTGGCTCTTAGTGTATGATAGACTTTTGTTAGTTTTTACAGACTAAATAACTAAGTGTGTTATTCTTCTCAAAGCAGATTATTATCACCAATAACTCTGAGACTCATTTTACTGACCAGTGTGAGATTTGTTATTGGAAATGTTATAAAATTATAAATATTTTCTTTCTAAGAATTTGAATAATTTAATTCTCGTTTAGGCTGATAGTAAATTTATTTGCTGCCTTTCACGTCACATTTTGAGATATATCTTAAATTACAAATATATTTATTCACTAGGAAAATATTACTTGTACATGTGTGACTTGTTATATAAAGCGAAAACATAAAACTATTGGAGACGAGTCTGCGGAATTCTGTATTTCTTAATATTATTACAATAAAGTAATTGTTAAACGCAAGGATACACAATGGACCATTTTTACACTGTTCACCGCGGTGTCAAAACCTGGTTTCTAGCGTTCTGAGTCCGCAGATATACCGCTGTGCCAATGGAGAGCGCTCCACCGTAGTGGGCAGAACACAAATAGCCCATTGTGTAGTTTGTGCTTAACTTCAAACAAACAAATACTGTGGAGCAGTGCATTACAATAATGACAGGGACGAAATAAATTATATTGTTATTTTGATTTTCATGACCTAAATAGCTTTGAAAAATAACTTAAGCGAAACATATGTTACATAATAATGTTTGGGTTGTCTGTAGATGTGAGTAATACAAACAGTTTTGCTAGCATCTTACAATTTTACTTTCTCTC